AAATTATTGGGGATTTTACCTTTGTGCCTCACTTAATTAAGTATAAATCTAAAAAGTAATCTAGATCATTAACAGTTATCAAAAAGGTATTCCCACCCAAATTGCAACAGAAATGATTAATCACTATAGTCTAAGTATCCAGTAACAGTGTGTGTATAGTGGATGAAGAGTGTGTGTGTGAAAAGGATATGCACAATGTGTGTAGAGTGAATGCAGAGTCTGTGTGTAAAGTGTATGTAGTGTGTGTAAAGTGTATGTAGTGTAAAGTGTATGGTGTGTGTGTGTGTAAAGTGGATGCAGTGCGTGTGTAGTGGGATTGAAGTGTGTGTGTGTGTGTGTGTGTGTGTGTAAATGTTGAATTGAGGCTATGGGTGTAAGACATTTTTCTTTTTATTTATAATTAAAGGATCACTATAGTGTCAGGAAAACAAACTCGTTTTCCTGACACTATATAACCCTAACGGTCCCCCCACCCTCAGGGCCCCCCTCCTGCTGGGCTGAAGGGGTTAAGACCCCTTCAGCCACTTACTTTAATCCAGCGCCGGGTTCCCTGAATGCTTTCCTATGGATGGATTTTCGCATTGTGCGTCGCAGAAGTGCCTTTAGTGCCTGTCAGGTAGACAGCCACTAGAGGCTGGATTAACCCTGCAATGTAAACATAGCAGTTTCTCTGAAACTGCTATGTTTACAGCTGCAGGGTTAAAACCTAGGGGACCTGGCACCCAGACCACTTCATTGAGCTGAAGTGGTCTGGGTGACTTTAGTGGTCCTCTAAGTGTATTCTCCCCTTCCTGCCTCTTATTTTTGGTCAGGATACTACATTCTCTACATTGGTGCAAGCTCCAGAAGTTTCCTTGCTGGTATAGTCCCTTTCTCATGAGCCCCTTCATTGTGCCACCATACCGAAGTTGGGATCTGGAGTTTTCTGAGCCCCCTCTTCACTATACAAGCCATGCATTATAGACTTTTCCCTGCAGTACCACCCCTTTGTCTGTATAGATTTCCTTGTTTTTTTATGTTATTTTGATGGAATGAAGCAATGATTTTTATTGCCACAACTGAGTGAATTTCTGTCCTGGAATTTTGGACCCAGTGTTTATTGCAGTATATGTGCAAGTTTCCCTGTAGCCTTATCTTCCTCTGGTGACTTCCCGCCACTCACTGCAGGGAGAGGAAAATTCAGCAGGCTGGCATGAGGGGTAGACTTGGGCAGCAAAGAGGGAGGCCATGCCACCATTGGTTGCCTTTTGCTAACTTACTGTGTGTGCTAATGACAAATGGACAATATGCACAGATTTAACAATAGCCTGCTCAGAACTCTCCTTCCATGCTGGTTAATCATAATAATCATAATGAGCTTGTGTAAAATCCATCACTGAATGATTTTAATTTTTTTATTTTTCATTTTACACCCATGTATGGGTTATTATGCTAACTTTATTAATCACATTCACAATTTACACCAAGTATCATTTAAGCAGGATCCGTCAAATTCAGAGGATCCGTCAAATTCAGAATAAAAAAAATCTACATGTTTTAAATTAACTTACTCATACTTTGTAATGATAAAGGATGATTATTGTTCATATGAAAGGTATAGTATTTTGATTGAGAATCTGGGTTAAGCTATGCAGCATGTACATCACTATATTGATTTTATACCATTCTGGCTATTCATTTATTATCATGTATCCTTTTATAAACTGTGACCGACCGCCTGGCACCCCGACTCGGTACTTCTGTCAATAGCTGCTTCCTAGTAATCTTTGAGGACCATAAGCACCACACTGGACACCATAACCACCGGAACCCCCCAAAACCACTGCAGCTTGGTTTGGGGGCTCGCTGCCCTCCACCCACCCTGGACCCAAGACCAGGATCCAGCTTCCAGTGTGTAGACCTCTCCTAGTCCAGAGAACAGGCTGCTCTTACAAGAGTAAGTGTTGTAATCCAAGGGAGTATAGTGATTGTAGCAATCCCAAGAGTGAATGTAGCTCTCCAATCCCCCAAACATGAGCCTAGACTTCATGAAGGGGTAAAGCAATCTGTTTAATGGCAGCCACAACTGGCCTTATATGAAGGTCCCCATGCAAAGGGTACCTGTTTACATAGAAACATAGAAACATAGAATGTGACGGCAGATAAGAACCATTCGGCCCATCTAGTCTGCCCAATTTTCTAAATACTTTCATTAGTCCCTGGCCTTATCTCATAGTTAGTATAGCCTTATGCCTATCCCACGCATGCTAAACTCCTTTACTGTGTTAACCTCTACCACTTCAGCTGGAAGGCTATTCCACGCATCCACTACCCTCTCAGTAAAGTAATACTTCCTGATATTATTTTTAAACCTTTGTCCCTCTAATATAGAAACATAGAATGTGATGGCAGATCCCACTGTACCTGAGAATAAACTACAGCAAAAACATACACATGATTACATTGGCTCTCAGGTCCAGGATCTTCCCACATAAAACAAGATAACCCTTTCTGTGTGCCTAGGAGATAATTGAGTCAAGAACTGTACTAAACTCAATTATTTCCAGGTACAGAAAACACACATTTTACAATACCCCAAAAGTACCCCTAAAACACATGGAAACCCCACAAAAGTCATATCTCTGATAGCCCCGATTCCGAGGGACCAACATATCCAAAAATCATCCATATTGGTTCAGGGATTCAGGATTTCCATGGAAGTCCTACTTTGACAGACTGCACATGAGGCTCCTGCCCAAAATAGTTCCAGAGAATCAGGGCTTGTGGTCGGTTTAGTTTGGTAGTTGTAGTTCGGTAGTTTGTTCCCCTCATTCAGACAAATGATTCAACTGAACAATGTCCTTCTTAGTTATGTAGAACCGAACGCAGGGTATGATGGAAGTCCAGTGGTGTTCGTGAGATTCTGTGTCCGATTTTAGTTCCAGGAACGCGACGACCAAACACCGCTGCCTGTGTTCATGCAAACAAGATGGCGGCTACCTCGTGGTTGTCCATGTGAACAGTGGCCACCCAGACAAACAATTAGAATGCTGCGGTTAGAATAGTTACCAAGTGTTATTGGGGTTTAACAAGCTCCTGGGTGGTCTCTGGTTTGTGCCGCTGTTCGGTTCCCGAACCACATAATTCCAATTGCACGAACAGAGCCTTTTAAAAGTATATTAGCCAAGGTCTATTGCAGGAGCCATAATCCTGAGGCAAGAGGCTGGCCAACAGGCCCTTTCAAGAACCCGTGACAAGGTTCAGTTCGTCACATAAACCATCAAATATATTTTGTTTATATAGTCCTTACTAATAAGGTTCACTTGCCTTAAGTCCTTGTTTCCTTAATTATGTTTTTCTTTTCCACAAAAATGTATTCTAACATGCAAAATACTTTCATAATTTTTGTTTAGATCTTATGGGAAACTCCATACAGTAGGTATATACAGATTTTTAGGATTATATTGTATTTCCTGTTTGTATTAAGCTTTTGTTACATTGGAATTCCTAATCATTTTAATTAATATAATTTGTTTGGGATATAATTTTATTTAGAAATTTACCAGTAGCTGCTGCATTTCCCACCCTAGTCTTATACTCGAGTCAATACGTTTTCCCAGTTTTTTGGGGTAAAATTATATTCGGGTCAACTTATACTCGAGTATATACAGTAGTCAAACAATAATAAGGGAGAATCAAGTTGTAATTAATTCCCCCAACTCCGCTTTGCCTTATATTTGGAATTACCTGGTGAACCTGTTTCTGGTTTAGTAAATACACTTACACTTACCTCCAGATCTAATTAAATTAGTTCAATTTCAGCGTTATCAATTTTACCTATGTATTTCACACAGAGAAAAAAGACACACATACACAATATATGTATTCAATACAAATCTGGAAGACACTATATTAGATACGTCTATCTAGTACTGTGTAAGAAATGTGTTTTACTCTTGAAAAGTCTAAATGTTTTATTACCTTGAGAAAAAATTGTGTTGAAACGGTGGGAATTTTGTTCCATTGATTCAAATCGTCATGCAGTTCCGACAGATATTTTTTCACCAAATGTAGTAAATCTCCCATTAAACTTAACCCAATTGGGATTCTTTTGACTTAAAATCTGGGAGCTGTGCACATCTTTTGATTAAACAGTTACTGACATTTCCTTAAAAAATGTGTGTAGTGATGAATGTTTTATGACATACCAGATGCTGATAAATATGATCATTTAATATGCACATAAAACTATGCAATTGATCAGCATCATTCCTTAGTGTGGTATATCTATAATGCTTATACGGTACTCTGGGTTCTACGGACTGCCGGTATGACATTTCCTTAACCTGTAAACTATCACCAGCCTGAAACATTGACACAAGACATAATTAATCAAGATATTCATGTGTTTTATATCAAATTCTGATGCTTTCAACTACCCATCACATCAGTGTTTGAGTTTCCAGACCAGGCAGAGTTTTCCCTGTTCATTTCAATCTTCAAGTTTTGATCATTGCGTACTTACTGAATTTTATTGTTTTTGAGACCCTTGAATCACAGCTTCTGATACCAGAACTAATACCACACCGAAGAACAATGTAACAATTTATAGTACTGTTTAACTGAACAAGAAAAGTCTTTCTTAACCATGCTTGCATTATTTATACATATAGTTTAATGGCAGTCACATGATTCACTCTTTGGCTATCTTAGCATATGAGTTATGGTAACTAAATGGCCAATATGTGTAATTGCTTATTTTAGATATACGCACATTAACTTTCAGATTTTTATTTGCCTATATCCTGTTTGCTATAGTTGATATATTTATTATGACCACAGGAGGGAGACATAGAATAAGTTTGCTGTAGAAATCTAAATACAAACAATAAATCACCCATTCCTAAGATAAAATGAATAAAGGCTAGATAAGATAGGTTTGGTGCATTTACATTAATAATTCTATTTCTTTTTTCTTTTTTTTATTCTTTTTTTTGTAGTGCATGTTGTAATTTACATGAGCATTCAGCATTATTATATATGGAGAGAAAAAAAAGAACATTCAATAGTAACAATACATCCATATAATCCTGCACTAATTTTATTATTAATTCTACAAGTACAGCACCCTTGGCAGCTCAAAGATGGGGGTGACAGGAGAGCACAAAATTGTGTGCAGGTAACACTCCTTGGGCCTAGGGTTGAGAATATCCCGACTAGTGAACTCAAGGGGAAGCATGTGGTTATCACGTTTTAGTTGAAAATCTGACAGGCATGAATTAAATGGTAAGACGTGTGCACATCTAGCTATGGTGGTGTAATACAGGTTAATATGTGCTTCAGAAGAATGGATAGTTGGAACATAAGATGTTAAAGGAGGCTGTACATAGCCGGCTGTGCTGCAAAAATATATTTACCCCTGACCTTTGAGTTCTGGGGGGGTTGTGTCATCATCAGAAAAATTATGGGTCTGCGACTTGAAGATAAGGTATCACATTAGATTTTACATTTAGCTAGGTGCATGTTTGCTTGCTTCCTCTATATGAAATGCTTAAAGAAAAAGAAACTGTTAACCTGAGAAACTGAAAACAAAACAATAATAAATAACATTTTGTTGTCTGTGAAGCAAGATACAGGTTCTGGGACATCTTGTCCGTTGGACCTACAGAAGCTGTAGGCAATTCCCGGGTAGTCAAGTTCCTGACAAGGTGGAACCTCCATCTCTCGAGATAAAAGGCACGTTATTGGCTGGATGCAAAGCCACAGTTGGAGCCTGTGATTCTGGGGTAGTGTCAGGCTTCGATAGTCCCAATGCTTCATAGAACGCTTGAGATTCCAGAAGTGACTGGAGTGTGTAGGTGACTCCATCACTTGTCACCATCAGAGATCCAGGTGGTCCCCACTGGTATGGCACTCCTGCTTAGTGGAGGCGGGTAGTGACAGGTCCCATGGTTTTTTCGCCACTCCAACGTGGCTCTGGAGAGATCCTTAGAAAACAATATAGGAGGGAGAACTCAAAATTCAGAGGTGTTTTGCCTCTTAAAGGGACACTGTAGGCATCTGCTTCATCTCATTAAACTGGTTATAGTGTTTGGAGTCTTCTGGTCCCATCATTTCTACCAGCATTAAACAGTTTTTAAAGTTTTAATGTTTTAATGCTAAACAAGAGTCCCCGGCAATCCATCCCCTCTGTGCTGCTTTGGCTAATAAGGAAGTATTAGCCTGAGCATAAATGGGCAGCTGTGATTGGCTGAGAGTGTCTGCTGACTGCTTTTAACCTGTCAGAGTTCCAACCGACGGTATGAGTGGGTATTACAACAAGGAAGTGTGTAATCTCTGCCTTAGCTACACATACTGAAGGGGCCGGACTGTGGGTGGCCATGGACTCTTATTTTGTGGCATACTGCACGAACATGGTGCAACACTGAATGGAGGGACATTGTCAGGGTACTCCAGGCACTATAACCAATTCAAAGAGATGAAATGCTTATAGTGACTACAGTGTCCCTTTAAGGCTGCCAAGATGTGGTTCTTGTCTGCGGTTGTAGTGCATCGCAATGTAACATCATGTGTCACAGAGGTAGATGGTGTGGCGGCATTTGTGATCTGAAATATCCCCTCCAAAATTATTTTCTTGGCCACCATGGGTGGTAGAATTGAGGCTAGCATCTGCCTGATATAATGAGGTAGCTCTTCGGTGCCGACTGCGGTGGGGGGGGGGGGGATTCCGCAAATCTTAAAATTATTGCGTCGTTAATAATCTTCGAGGGACGTAAGTCGCATAGTTGAGCTGCTGAAGTTAGACACCTGTGATTGGACATCCATGATATTGAGTCAGTGCTTTCCTGTGTGGAATGCTAAATGCACTTGGTGCGCTCTCCTAGCATGCACATTAGGTTCCCATCATCGGCTGACATTGGAGGAGCCTGGCCCAGCACCCAGGGACCTTGGCGCTGGAATCAAGTAAGTGTTTAAAGGGTTATTTAACCTTTTCATGGCAGAGAGGCTGGGGGGAGGAAGGGGAGGGGATGGAGATCATAGTGGCAGAGGCACACTGTAGTGTTAGGAATACAGTTTTGTATATTATTGTATATTTGTGTATACTATAGTGTTCCTTTAAGCTTTGATAAAGGTTTGTGTGAGAGCAGAAACATGCTTATGTGATAAAAAATTGACCATCTGCACCTCCCGTGCCTTGTCCTTTGTATGTGTTAACAAAGAGGAATTTGGTAATTTCTGTGGCACCAGGAGAGTGAACCTTCCATAGCATGTACCTTCTTCTTCCACTCGATTTAAAAATGACTGAATATCTGAGTTTTATATAAATTAAACCCAAAATAAAAAGAGTTTGTTTGTCTGTGTTTTTATGAAGCAGTTTTTTTTTTACTTTTTGTTCCTGTCTATGATCTGTACTGTGGTGTCATGTAATAGGGCTATACAGATTTGATTTTCCTTTTTTTCATTAAGTTTGGTTTATCTAAAGTGCTGCTAAAAAAAGGGAAACAAAAACAATGTTACAGAGAATGACTTCTAATTTACTGCTTTAATTGTTCACATTCAACTGTAATTTATTTTGAACATTTATTTGTTTAATTGATTTAAATCGTCGGTGAGTGGGATAATACAAGTATTACCCTATTAATCAGTAAAAGTACAACTGTAAAATCTTTTAGATTATTTGTATGAATCGCAAACATATGTACATGTTATTAATTGTCATTTTTCTTATGGGTTACTGAGTTTTATGTAATATATATTAAAAATAGACACATTTCTTTTCTTTTTTTTATATTAAATCAATTATTTTCTTCTCTGTTTGTTTTATAATATTTATATATTATATTTTCTTCCCTTTTCTCATCAGACAGCTTGTGATGCAAATGATAATACACACAATGAGACAAGTTACAATAATTATTGCACACACTATCACTGTCCAAGCAGTTACACTCAGCCCAGATGGACAACCATCGGAAGGTGGTAATATTATTGATGTAGTAGTGTATTTGGAAGTTTTGACAGTGCTAGTTGTAGGTTTTGGTGTAGTAGTTGGCTGCACTCGAGAAATAAAAATTGCAGCCTGTGCTATATTAGAGATGCTTGATTTCTGGGATACTTTATCAATTGCAATCAATGCAAAATGAAGTATACTTCCATTTGCAACAACCATATTTCCAGGTACAAATGTAAATGTTTCATGGGATCCAGCTAGCTGTGGTTTTACACCAGCCATGTTGACCAAGTAGCAGGACTCAAAGTTGTTTCTCAGGTCATTTGGGTTGACGCATGTTCTTAAATCATATTTGTTTGCTAAAAAAAAAATCATATTTTTTACATATTAGTTTGATTATTAACAAAACAGTGTAACTTTTGTCTTAAATATTTAAAGAATAGGCTTGCACATAGATGTAGCACAAAACAACTGCACAATTACACTGAACAAAATTATAAATGCAACACTTTTGTTTTTGTCCCCATTTTTCATGAGTTGAACTCAAAGATATAAGACTTTTTCTATGTACACAAAAGCCCTATTTCTCTCAAATATTGTTGACAAATCTGTCTAAATCTGTTAGTGAGTACTTCTCCATTGCTGAGATAATCTATCCACCTCACAGGTGTGGCATATCAAGATGCTGATTAGACAGCAAAATTATTGCACAGGCTGGCCACAATAAAAGGCCACTCTAAAATGTGCAGTTTTATGTCACATGCTTTGAAGGAGCATGCAATTGGCATGCTGATATATGATTTCCCCTTTTCTTGCAATATTTTAGAGAAGACCTAAATATAAAAAAGAAGTACAATTTTGCACATAATGCACATAAGTAGTGATGTCCCGAACGCTTCGCTGAACGGTTCGCAGCGGACGGTGAACATATGTGGTAAACTTTGACCCTGTACCTCACAGTCAGCAGACACATTCCAGCCAATCAGCAGCAGACCCTCCCACCTCCTGGACAGCTCACTAAGAATGCAGCTTCACAATGAATGTAAAATGGACGCTTTTTCAGGAGGTGGGACACCGTTTGGGACATCACTACACATAAGTAAAACTGTAAAATATCATGATTCTTGGCAGTGGCAGAACTAATGTAGAAAAGGCCCTGGTGCAAGAACATTTTTGCTCCCCCAGTAGCACAATGGTGGCCAAAAGGTAGATTTCCATTTGTTGAACTCCCAGAGTGCTATGCGAGCTGGTGGAAATTTACCACTTTCCAATCCTTGCAGGGTTGTATTTGTGAGCAGTGCATGTGAATGTAATTATGTGTGTGTGTGTGTGCATGCAGGTGTGTATTTGTATTACTGTTGCCATTGAAATGTATGGTGTACATGTATGTACTATTTACATATGAGTGCAGGGGTGAGTTTGCATGAAGTGTGGGCTTTTACATGCAGGTGTGCATTTGTGTTTAGTGTTGGTGTTTGAATGAAGGGGTGTTTGTATATCATTTTAATACAGGGACGTGTTTGTATGTAATGTATGTAATGTTTGCATTCGATTGCAGGGGTATGTGTAAATGTAGTGTTGGCTTTTACATGTGAGTGACCTTGAGGCACAAAACATTTATAAAGCTGATACTGCACTCAAAAAATTGATGCAAAAACAATGTTTCATAGTCAGATTTGCACAGTAAGTGCTTTAGTAGCAAGTGCTTAGTAACCTATTTTACTCTAAGCCCCATTGTTATTGTGTGCCCCCACCCTGCCGTGATATTAAGTGAAGATAATAAAGGTATTTCCACCTTTAATGCTCATTTTGGCCGCATATCTTTTCCACGCCATATAAGCTCCTTCTGATCTGATCCATTTTTCTCACAGGTTAAAGTTCACATCAGTAGTATGAAAAATGTCAGTATGTAGGCATAATGCCCATATACTCCAAGTACAGCTGCCTGGCCAAAACAAAGCATCTATACAATTAAAAAATTGATGCCAAAGCAGCTTGTAAAGAAGCACCATACAAATTATAATTTTCATTTTTTTAATTCATTCTTTTTAGACATATTGGAGACCTATTGAAGTTTAGTATTAATAGGTTGATGAAGGTGTTTATGGTTATTCAAATGGTAGATCGATTATGGAACTTATGCTTACTACTCACAGAAAAAGTGCTAGAGGGTGAAAATAAAAAATCAATGGCTAATAACTACAGATGCAGTCATTCGTCTTTTCATGAACAGAAATGTCAGTCAGACATGAAATTATAGGATCATCTTCATATTTTCAAGCTTTGCCCAGAGACATTTTTCTTGTCTGACAATTACACAATACATTTAGTTCTTATTGGATACAACCGTTTTGTTCACTTAAATGTACTATTTTAATGCCCCCTCCAAAAAAAAATATATATATATATCTTTTGTCTAATATGAAGGCACTTTTGCTTACAGCGGAATCTATAGATATTTTGTTTAAAAGGCCTGGGTGTTTTTTTGCGACACGGGATTATTGAAGGTAATAATGAATACATATGTGAACAGGCTGTTGAGCCAAGAAGAAATTTGATTGTCATCATGGAGTTATGGAGTTTGTGGCATAATTTTAAATGTCTACAGTTGTTTTTTCTTCTTTTAGATCAGCAACATAATATAGTTGGTTTCAAGGTTAAACTTGATGGTCTCTAGCTTTTTTTTTCAACCTAGATTACTATGTAATTATGTAAAAGTGAAGGCAGCTATTAGCTGCAAAATACAAAGGTTGATAGTTATTTTTTGTTGCATGTTTGCTCACCTTAAAAATGAAATTGATACTATTAACTGATGCATTCTACACCCTGAATAGTAATAGATCAAGTGTTGATGTTTGTCCACAGTTAAAAGCCAAAATGAAGACCTCTTACCAGTTCCTTGGTCCAGATCATCACCAGTTGCCGTCCAAGAAATAACAATCGTGTATCCTGAAGTCTTTGCTGCCAAGTCTGTTATTTTGCATGGTTTAATGGTGTCAACTTGAGGCCCAAGTGGAACATTAGATACAATGAAGGAACCACCTGAAGACGTCCTGACAAATACTCCCACATTAAGCTGTAGGTCACTTTCATTGACTAAGGGCTTAGGTGCGTTCATTGTAATCGTCCCTATAAGTACAAATTATTTGTTTTTAATTATGTTTGCTTATGCTATAAAATTAGCACTTATTTAGCTGAATATTATGTATTTGTGCATATCTTGCCTGCCAATTCTAACTATATTTTAGACTTGTATTATTACATTGTAAATATTTTACCAACTTAGTATGCAGTACTGCTATGCTTACTATACGTTTATAGCCTATATGTTTAGCCATATAGTAAAATGTTTATGAAAATGTATTTTTTAAAGACTAATCATGTACAAATCTTGTGAAATAAAGCCAGAGCACGTTGTTTTATGTACTATACTAAACTATAAAATGTTTTTTTACAATGCAGTTGTTTATAATTGATTACGAAAAATAATAGAAACTAGACAATTGCATTCTTTCCATTCATCGTTTAACAAATTAATCTGCTTTACAACAAATAAAATTGCCCTAAACAAAACGTTCATTTTGTTTTAACCCCTTAAGGACTGAACCAAATGTACATGTTGTGATCAAAACAAAACATAAACAAAAACTTTAATTTGCGCTATATGTCTGTTCAGGTGTAATTTGCCTCTTTCATTTTAAGTGCACCCACACTTATTATATATAATTTTATTCAGGGAAAACAGGGCTTTCATTTAACATCAAATATTTAGGTATAAAACATCATTTAATATGAATAACATATTAAAAAATGGGAGAAAGAATTTTTAAAAAATGTTTAGTTTTACGTGACATTCTAACTGTGAATGTCATAATACTGTTTGACTTTACTGCAATCAAATACACATATTTGTATTCAGCGATGTTTCACGTGTAAAACAATACCCCTATGTACAGGTTTTATGGTGTTTTGGGAAGTTACAGAGTCAAATATAGCATGTTACCTTTTTCAGTTTTTTCACATTGAAATACGCCAGATTGGTTACGTTGCATTTGAGACCGTATGGTAGCCCAGGAATGCGAATTGCCCCTATGATGGCATACCATTTGCAAAAGTAGACAACCCAAGGTATTGCAAATGGGCTAAACTTTTAGTAGCCACTTAAAATACAAAAAACTAATTTGAACGTCAGTTTTGGCCAGTGTTTGTGACTCCGTGGCTACTAAAAAAGACTGGACATACCCCATTTGCAATACCATTTCCAAGCTGGTGAATTTCAATGTGAAAAAACTGAAACACAAGCCTTATATTTGACTCTCTACCTTTTGAAAACACCATAAAACCTGTACATGAGGGGTACTGTTATACTCGGGAGACTTCGCTGAACACAAATATTAGTGTTTCAAAATGGTAAAACGTATCACAACAATTATGTCCCTTTCACTGACAATATCGTCGTTGTAATACATGTTACTGTTTTGAAACACTAATATTCAGTGAAGTCTTCTGAGTAAAACAGTACCCCCCATGTACAGGTTTTATGGTGTCTTGTAAAGTTACAGGGTTAAATATAGTGCTAGCAAATTAAATTCCCTGGACTTTTGGTCTGGGTTGTCAGGCTTGTCCTGCTAATTGTAATTAATAAAATTACCTAATTATGTAAAATTATTACATAAATATATACGTAGAATTATTATATATATATATGTGTGTATATAAATATATGTATATATATATATATATATATATATATATGTATATAATTTAAAAAAAATTAAATTTATATATATATATATATATATTTTTATTTTTATTTTATTTATATATAGGTATATATATATATATATATATATATATATATAGTGATATATACGTATATACTTATATATATTATTTTGTTCTACATGTAGTTTGATATCAATATATATATTAATTTTAAAATACAGTTAGCAGGAATTTACACATATATATATATATATATATATATATTTTATTAATTTATTTTTTATTATTTTTTTCATTTAATTTTTTTAACGTATTTACAGATTTATTTATTTTATATTATATATAATGAAAATTATATATATATATATTTAATCAATATCATTGTACGTGTATTTTGATATTAATATATATATAATTATGTATATATTAATATTAAAATACACGTAGATAGTGTATGTGTGTTTATGTGTATATGTGTGTGTGTATATATATATATACTAAGATCGTATATATAATAAATATATATATGATCTAAGTATATATAATGTTATTTTACACTGTTTTAACATTTTATTTTAATTTCAGACAGCAGGGGGAGTACCTTGTCATTACAGGCACTCCCCCTGCTGGCAAAGCCTTGGACGGCTTTGCCGTCAATGTGATCGTGAGGTCCTCTTGAAGACCTCGTGATCACATGGCCCAGGGGGGCCGAAGAGGAAGCAGGGGCTCCCAGGTGAGTCCCCGTACCGCGATCACCGGCGTGGGTCAAAAGGTTTCCTGAACTAATCAATTTGTTTAAAAGCATTGTGAGGGGGTTTCAGTTCAAATCCATTCATTATTAAACTAATAGTTTAGTTTAAAAACGAATTCAATGAATATACATGTCCAGTTGAAACCCAAATAGCATTCCATAATTTGAAACAAATCCTTGAAATTGTTAAGCACTTTAAGTTAATCCCTTTGCTGCCAGATTTTTCTATGAGAATTCTGCTCATATCATAATCTCTAATTAAGATGGAATTTATGGGATGTTTGCATAAAATGCACAAATAAACCACTGCTACTAGACTTGTACATTCAAATTCAGACGAATTGCAATTCGCATGAATTTGGACTGATCAGCTGTTTGGCTATTCTCTAAAGCAGGGGTCCTCAAACTCCGGCCCCCCAGATGTTGCTGAACTACAACTCCCATGATTCTTTGACTTTTATAGATAACCAGAGAATCATGGGAGTTGTAGTTCAGCAACATCTGGGGGGCCGGAGTTTGAGGACCCCTGCTCTAAAATATCATACAGACATATAACCAAGTGAATTACTAGCATGATGGCTGTGGGTGTTTGTTTGATTAGAAATTCAGAGTTCCAGCCATGGTGCCCAATTTTTTTTTTATTTTTTTTTTTAATTATCATTGATGGTAAAAAAAATATAGTGTTAGCTAGGGGACAGTCACTAAAAGTTGATATTATTTACAGATCAAATGAGAAGTGACCGATATTAAAAAAGGAGCAATAAAAAGAAGTTCTATTTCTAGAATATACATTTAAATGGACACTATAGTCACCAGAACAACTACAGCTTTTTGAATTTGTTCTGGTGAGTAGAATCATTCCCTTCAGGCTTTTTGCTGTAAACACGGTCTTTTCAGAGAAAATGAAGTGTTTACATTACAGCCTAGTGATAACTCCACTGGCCACTCTTTGGGCAGTGCTGCAGAGTAAGCAGCACTGCCATTCAGTCTTTCCACCCTCTGCATGCAGACACTGAACCTTCTTCATAGAGATGCATTGATTCAATTCATCTCGATGAGGAGATGCTGATTGGCCAGGGCTGTGTTTGACTTGTGCTGGCTCTGTCCCGGATCTGCATCCATGACAGTCTAAGCCAATCCTATGTGAAAACAACATAATTGGCTCAGACCACCACTTCTGATGATGTTGGCAAACAAAGGCAGTTCACAGGCAGAGGCAGCAGCTTCAGACTTGAATACAATTAAGATTTCACTATATTTAGGGAGGCAAAGGGAGCCAGGGAGGGCTATATTGTGGTTTTAACACTATAGGATCAGGAATACATGTTTGTGTTCCTGACCCTATTGTGCTTCTTTAATAAACATAAATATAGATTTGTTACTGCTCCTCCTATTTTTCCATCTATTGGTTACTTTTTCACCAATTTCAATTTGCTACAATTCTGACTTTAGTAGACAATCCCTACATTTTTAAATCATATGGTATATATGGGTAGTTCTAAGGAAAAAGAAATACAACATAGTGCAATATTGTGCACAACAGCCACTCAGTGTGCAAGTTTCAACTGACCACTCACTATTATCCAGTTATAATGAATCCTTGATAAAAAAATTATTTGTCAGGAAGCTAAAATCCTAGGTCCTGACTTCACTTCAGGACAGAAAGGAATAAAGTGCAAAGTGTAAAACTTACGTATGTGATGTTGTGCGTTCTGATAAGAGACTTATACCGGGGTTAACTCTAGGTTCTTTATTAGAAAGCTTTTACATGGTTAGTCTTGAAATAAGAGTTGCAGGACTTAACCCCTTAAGGACCAAACTTCTGGAGTAAAAGGGAATCATGACATGTCACACATGTCATGTGTCCTTAAGGGGTTAAAGGGAAGTGAAAATAATAAAGACAAAAGGGAGAAAGTAGAACCTATAAGCGAAATTACAGGTAAGTATATTGGAGGGTATAAAATAAAGACTTTAGACAATAAACCCCAGACAGATTACAGAGTAGCAGGAAAACCTAGAAGTGAGATTATAGGCAGAAAATGGAATGAAAACCTATAAATGAAATTATAGGCAATAGTAAGAAGGAGAACCTATAAGTGAAATTATAGGTAAGTATAAGGAGAGAGATAATAGAAAACAAGAGTTAGGCAATATGCCCCAAACAGGTTTAAGGTAGCAGGAAAACCTATAAGTGAGATTATAGGTGAATCAAGATAAGGAAAACCTATAAGTGAAACTTTAGGTTCCAGGTAGACAAAAACAAAACTAAACAGAAATATAAAGGATTAAGTAATACAGGTTAGTTTAGGCATTAAGGTGATCAGCCTCTTTGGTTTGGAGGCATAACTGCAGTTTGAGATAGTTATAACAGGATCTTTCAGGATAGTTGCAAATAATAGAAATGTTTGTATTATCTAGGTAGGTTGTGTAGTTTCCGGTAGGTGTACAGTAGGTTAGAACCAAAGCAATAAGGAATCAAAGTCCAGTATCGAATAAAGCAGGTTGGTATTAAATATCATGTTTTCCCCCCAAGTGTATTGATAGCAAGCAGGTTGTAAATAAAGCAGGTAGGTAGTATAAATCCGATTGGTTCAATGGTATTCAGAGTAGTGCAGGTTTTCTCAGTATGAGTCTGGATAAGAAGTCTTGTCAGGATCAGAAAATAGACTTCAATCAATGTAAAGGCCATTTGGTTAGCAGTGTGTGGCCTCTTATAGCAATCTAAATGATCATGCTATGCAGGTGAGAGTAACTGAGGTTAGACTAGTGGCTAGGAAGGCCACTAGTGGTGGAAAACTGGAATTGTAGAAAATGAAACGTAAGTTTGGTTGTCAGGATGGGATCCTGACACGTGTGCATTCCATTGCGGATTCGGATGGTGGGACTTCTTCCTTGTCCCCATCGTGTTCTTGATGGTGGGGTTTCTTCCTTGTTCCCGTCTTGTTCTTATGGTGGAGCTTCTTCCTTATGCTTCTTTCTCCTTTTCTTGTGATTGCATATTGGACTATTTTTGTATATAATAGTGAGTAGCCAATTAAAACCTGTGCACTGAGTGGCTATTGTGTACAATACAGCACTATGTTGTATTTCTTTTTTCCTTAGTAGAACTACCCATATATACCATATATATTGCATTCAGAAGACAAAAGGAGATCTTCTGGGTAGTTGCATCTACATAAAGAAAATGTTATTCTTTTAAATTTGAAATCTTAATTTATATTCACTACATGGTTTGCACTCTATAAGGGCTTGTGTTCAGCTTTGTATAATTTTTCAATTATAGACATTTCACCAATCATATAATTATTTATTGGAATTGCTCAAACACTTACTAACACATATGCACACTTAAAAGATAGATAGTACTTCATAGTGTAAAAAGTTCAGAGTATTCAGTGGATGTATACGTTTTTGTTAGGACATAAAAACTTAAAAACAAAGGTTAAAAACATTCTGAAATGCAATTATTAAACTGTTACCACAGGCATCATAACCACTGAAGCCCACTGCTGAGGTTATGATGCCAGGAGTATCCTGTTGCTATTCTCAAGTAAGGTAGCAAACCGTTAATACTGCCATTCATTCATTGTCTGAGAGTGTCAGCTGAGTGTTTTTAACAAATGAATTAGTGCCTGCACATACAATATGCACATAATTAACATTAGCAGGCCATCCAGCTAATGAAAGTTGCCAGAGGTGCAGTTGTACCTCTGCAGCTATCTAACATCTGAGCATGTGCAGCATCTATTCCGAAATCCTACACGTACTTTTAGCATGCCCATTTCAAAACCCTTTACTCTCACTGTAACTTTATTGGAAAAATTCAAAATCCGCTCTTCTTACCTCTTTCAGCATAGCCAGGCATATAGAAAGCTTGATTCTTTGGAAGTGCCAATCTGCTTTTAGTGTCTTCACCCCTCACCTGTACCTTCAAACTATACCTTCCATTTGTACTGAACGCAATAAAATACCTTGTGTAAATGCCGTCATTCTTTGCAACATCAGCACCTGAAGATAATCAGTAAAAAAAAGAAATTAACAATTTTAGGAAAATATGAATATCAAAGATGAATATACTGCCGATTGAAGGGTAGAGGCGGAAAGGGTGGGCTTACAGGGAAAAGAAAATCTTAAATAATAAAAGTATAATGAAAAAGAGAAAGAATCCGTTTTAATTTAATGCAACCTAACTTTAAATAACTTTATGTCATTATCAGTCCATGACATGTTCCTTCTGTACTATGACTGCTGAATAGAGTTGAGCAAAGACGAACTGAAAAGTTCGGGTTCATACCAAACATTATGTTTTTTGGACCCCGGACCCGAACACGGACATATCACTGTATGTTCGGGTTGGAGTTCGGTGTTCGGCGATTTAATGGCGCGTTTTCAAAGGCCACAGGGCAGCCAATCAACAAGCGTTTGACTTGTGTGCCCTTAGAAGCCATCACAGCCATGCCTACTAATGGCATGGCTGTGATTGGCCAGTGCAGTATGTGACCCAGCTAGTAGGGGGATGTCTATTAAACAGTGAGCAGCCTGTTAAAAAAAAATTCCCCCCTCCTGAGCCCCCACCCTCAACGCGCGAGTGGGGGCTTTTAAACTAAAGAGGGGACCGATTGCCCCCCCCCCCGGCCCCCACCCCTGAGTGGTGGGTGGGGGCCATAAATAAGAATTTGGGGGGGGGGACCTATTGTCCTCCCCTCCAGTTCCCACCCCTGAGCGGTGGGTGGGGGCCATAAATAAAAATTGGGGGGAGGACCTAATTGCCATTCCCTACCACCTGTTCTGGGTAGATCCCTACACTGCCTGAAACAGTGCTCTGCTGGCAGTAACCCTCTACTGTGTAAGCACTCATAATGCTTAACAGCTGCTTCTTAGCAACAAATATGGTAACGAGCCCATGTTGGGAGGAAAGGAATTAACGAGGCACTGCAAGTATGCATATGTTAAGTGAAATATGTAGAGATTTAGTTATGCTGCATTTTTATTAATATTCATTTGTACAGTACTTAATAATAAGCAATGTTGCTGCACAATTTCTTTTTTTTCTGTCCCTTTCTCCAAGCAAAATATTTGTTTTCATCTTTGCTCCAAACATATGTATGTATGTACATCATGACTTGAGAGTTATAGTACAGCTGTTACTGCTACAAACACTTTAAGCTCCTATTTAGTAATTAGCTGTGCTAGGCTCAGGAGTATTTAGCAAGTTGAGTATAACGGTTGAGTAAGGCATATTCTGGTTTAGTAGGGCCAGACACAAGCTAAGAATTTAAATTTTCAAATGTGAGAATTTACATTTTTATTATTTTTAATATATAGGTATGTGCATATTTCACTGCATTATTTATATAATGTTTTTTTAAAAAGATCAACTCAAGCCCTAAGGGTCCATTTAATAAAAAAGTAAAAATAAATGACCATCTAAAAATTATGAAATTATATATGATATGTAATATGTCAATTTTATTTATAGTATTTCTAATAATTTCCTAGTTTTTCTATGGCTCTTGTAATATATAATACATTACAGAATAATGGGCAATATATATATATATACAGAATAACGCTTACCACTTAACAAAGCAAGTATCATAATTGTTGCTGTTGATTAGACGTTGTGCACTTTTATTTACCTGCTCCATTGTCCAGAAGCTCCAGAATCTCCACATTTCCATTATCTGATTCAATAATTGCTGTTACGTTAACTCCTGTCACTGGCATTAGCCCCTGCTTTACTAATGCATAAACAACCATTGGATTAGGATAAGAATTTGTCTCCTTGTTCATGTGGGCATTGACAATAATTGGAGGGATAGAGAAATCAGCAGCCTTGGAATTTACTATGATACCTAGAACTTGGTTTAATGTATTATTATTGCAAATCCTATAAAGCCAAGGTCCCCTCTAGAAAAAAAAAAAAAAAAAGATTATAACATTTCAAAACGTATCTCCATATTGTAACACATACTGAGGCTCAACTCTTCTTAACTCATTTGTATCCATTTGTTTTACAATTTACTTGCATTTCAAAGAGAAAATGCACATACCATTATACTATAGCCTACCTCTGCTGTTCCTGGGATTTCAAGTCTAGACAATTTGGATGTTACATCACTGGAAAACTGCTCAGTAGTATATATTTTTCTCATGGGATCTTGTAAATGGATAGATGGCACTGAATCTTGCCAAGTAACAAGGAAAAATGTGTCATTTCCTACTGTGAGATCGATGTAAACTGTTCCACTCAAACACTCATTAGGTTGAATTTTGAAAGCACTGCTTTCTAGCTGTAGAAAAAAACAAGACATTTTTTAATGAAATTTTACATTTCAAATGTATCATTTTAAATGTATTCTTGATTGTATAAATAACGTTATTTTATTTAATAAATTATGTAGGCTCATTACTTTGGATAAACTTTTAAAATATATTTTTTCACAATATTAATATATCAAAGAATATGTCATATAAATAAGTATTTCAATATAACAAAAATATATAAAAAATTTCAACATTTAAATATTTTTCATCAAATTATTTCAAATGTTTAGCCAAAAGTATTATATAATTTGAAATGCTTATTCAAAAATGTTAAAGGCCTAGAACAGACATAATGTATGTTCTATACTAGGAATAACATTTTAACATTTTTATGTCATGTAATATTTGCAATGTGCTTTTGGTTTCACTGGTCATCTGTCTATCTATCTATCTTATTATTATTATTATTATTATTATTTAAATTACACATCAGAACAACTGTTTATATTTCATTTTACACTAAGTTATCATTAACCACATAACTTCTAGAAATTTTGCACTTATTAATTCAAGAGAAAACACACGCACAATTCGGGTTATTATTACTATGGTATATATTAATTTAAAGGATTTGGCCATAAAGTTATGCACTGTATGACCTGGAACACACTTTTGTAGTGTACTCAAAGCAATACATAGTGCTGTTCAAGGATAATAAACTATTAAATTTAATAGAATTTTCACAATTACATTTTTGTGTTTGTTTCATTTGTAGATACACTGGACCCCTTCATTTCCTTGTGATTTTCTGTGAGTTCCCACTTGGGAATTGTATTTATTTATTTTTAACTCGTTTGCTAGTAAGTGACTTTTATGAACTAAAAATGCAAAACTAGTAGGAATACATATGCACATAAACCTAGGAGAAAACAATATTTTGTTGTAGAATTCTGTTCAATGATAGTGAAATCATATATTTATGAAATTTACATAATTACATTTTTGTGTTTATTAGTTCTATTAATAAAGATTAGAAATATTTTGTAACACATGCTGTGTTAAGAGATACACAGATGGTAGGTTAGTGTAGATCTAGTACTGCATTGGAAAATCTCTTTAGCTATAAGCCCTCAATACAAATTCTCACTTTTTGGCTGACTTGTGCAAGCAAGACAGAACCAAATCATGGGCATACACATGTGCACCATGAAGTAGCCCTGAAAAAACTCTATACAAACTGTTCACTAAGCTGTACATTGTGTACAACCTGATAGCATCCTTCGTGTTTCTGCTATTACTTTGTAGTTTAGTTCCAATAATTTTATATGATGAGAGTAATTGCTTCTGCACAGAATTTATGGGATGAGATCAAACATCATAATCCAGATTAATTAGCTGCTGTTTGTTGGATCTTCTAGCTGGTAAGTGATGGGTCTCCATGAAGCTGAATTTATCTTTTTTTATACAGGTATTGAAAGGTATGTTTTTTTTATTTGAATATTTTTCAATACCTTTTTTATTGGACTAACAGAATGTTTTAATAAAATAAAAAAGGTATTACAAGATATGAATTTTATCTGTTTTTTACATCTCTCTCTCTCTCTCTCTCTCTCTCTCTCTCTCTCTCTCTATATATATATATATATATATATATATTGTTTTTAAAGAATATATGTCATAACATATCAAAATATTAATAAAATTTATCATTTATGATTTATATTTTTCATAATATTAAATAATTTTAAAAATGTATCCAAAAATATTAAATTATTTTAAAAAGCTTATTGAACTATATTAAGTTGAGTTAAAAAAAAAAATAGGTGTGTAAATATACAGTCAAAGTCCAAATTTTTGGTGGCTGTGCAATAAGGAAGGACCTTATTTTTCATAATATTAAATAATTTTAAAAATGTATCCAAAAATATTAAATTATTTTAAAAAGCTTATTGAACTATATTAAGTTGAGTTAAAAAAAAAAATAGGTGTGTAAATATACAGTCAAAGTCCAAATTTTTGGTGGCTGTGCAATAAGGAAGGACCTTGTTCAGCAGACCAAATTCCAATATCAAAAAGACAGATAACTCAGCACATGGCAATGTGGTGTAATGGTGGTTCTATTCAGGCATCAAACAGGTATCTGTCTTTTTTAATGTTAAATAGATATTTATAAATATAAATATTAAAGAGAGGCCATAATAGTAAAAATGTCACCTGTATAGACTTCTTAAAAACGTCGCCATCTGCTGCTGAAATCCCACTAAAAGCATCAATCAGTCCGTTAGCATCCACCATGTCTGATGCTAGAAATTGCAATCCTCCTAAAAGACAATAGTTCTGGATAATTTGTTGTAAAAAATTACATATTAAAATAACTTTTTGATACTATGGAATTTAGCATGTTAATTCTATTTATTGACAGCAGCACATTGCTTTTTTAAATTTTTAGGATGTGTAAGTAAAACTGCCAGGAAGCTGCATCACTGTGGTCTTGGTGAAGACTGACTTTGTTCAATTAAAAAAAAAACCTGTTGGAAGCACAATGCTCTACCAAATTGTGTGGTACCACAACACAATAGGAGAATGTCACTTCTTAAATGAATGAGCAATCTGAATCTACCAGTTGAGCTGTCCAAAAAACATATTTTAGATTGAAGATGGTCAGGATTTATCAGAGCACTCTAAGAAATTTTAAAATTTTAAACTAAGACTATAGGTTTTATTGAAGAACCCTGACAAAATGATCCAGGCTCAAATTTCTCACTGATTAGTTTCTATTGACTAAAGCAGGAAAGCACTAATGAAACACATATATGCATATTGTGTGCATATTATTATTATTATTATTATTATTATTATTATTATTACTGCCATTTATCAAGTGCCAACATATTCTGCAGTGCTCTACAATTGGGTATAAAGACAGTACAACATAAACAGACCAATACAAAAGGTAAAGAGGACCCTGTCTGTGAACTGGGATCTAGCCACTTAAGCTCTTTTATACAGAGTACTTTGCTAGATAATCTGTGAATTTACAATCTAAAGATTGAAATGGGGAAAAGAGGTAGCAGGGATGATTTGGATATGATGGTCAGGGAGAATTCAAAGGATAATTGCAGCCACTGGTTACATGTAAAGAGTTTAGTAGGTTAATGAGCGTGAGCTGCAAAAGCATTCTCTAAACCTAGAAGAAACCATTGATTGATTCCAATGGGATTTTTTTATTTTATTTAACCACATAAATCCTACAAATAAAAAATAACATACAATATATTATCACAGTTAAATGCATGGGCGTCCGCCGGAGGGGTAAGGGGGGGCACTTGCCCCCCCCTGGATTTTTCAGCTTGTTCTTATTTTTCGTGTGAGATTTAAAATGAACTGCAATACCGGCACCGGCCAGTAGGTGGCGCTGTGTATGGAGAGAGACAGGGATAGGAAGCTGCATCTTATCCCTGCTTCTCTCTGCTGATTGAAACCGCATTGAAACATGCAGCCAGAGACAGCCTACAGATCAGATAAGTGGGGGATGGGGTGGGGGGTTTGAGAGGGGGCAGCAGCCTATAGCCTAAAGGTGCAGCCTGCGATTTGGGCAAGGGCCAGACGGGGGGCAAGTAAGCAAAATAGATTTTGGGGCAGCAGCAAATAGTTTGGGGCAGCAGTAAATAGATTTTAAAGTAAGTCTACAGATCAGCCTTTTAGCTCAAAGGGGCAAGTTCATAGATTTAGGGCAGCAGCCTGCTAGATTTAGTGTCTGCTGATTGGGGTGCAGCTTTAGTTTTAAAATAAGTGTTCATAGATTTAGGGCAGCAGCCTATAGGATTTTAAAGGTGCAGCCTGCTAGATTTGGGGCAGCAGCCTATAGACGGGGCAGCAGCCTATATATTTTGGGGTGCAATTGTTTCCATATATTTGCAGTAGCTCTGGCATTTTGCAGCCCATGTATGCAGCAGCCTGCTAGATTTGGGGATAAGTACTATAGATTTGGGCAGCAGCCCATAGATTGGGGGCAAGCAGCCTTTGTGGATTTGGTGAGGCATATCTACATTTGGGGATAGTGTTAAGCCCAGATTGGGGAGGTAAAGGCAGCCCATAGATTTGGGGGGGCAGCAGCCCATAGATTTGGGGAGGGGGGCAGCAGCCTATAGATATATAGAAATGAACAGGAAGGGTCAAAGCAGCACAAAGGTAAAGTAGATGGAGCAGAAAGGGTCAGAAATGAGCTGGAAGGGGCAGAAGGAGCACAAACATAAAGTAGGAGAATGAGCAGGAAGGGCCTGCAAGGAGCAGGAAGGAGCAGAAAGGGACAGCAATGAGCACAAAGGTGAAGGAGCAGAAAGAATCAGAAGGAGCACAAAGGTAAAGTAGGAGAAAGAGCAGAAAGGGTCTGCAAGGAGCAGAAAGGGATCAGAATGAGAAAGGAGCAGAAGGGCGCAAAATAAGCAGAAAGTAGAAGAAAGGTAAAAGAGCAGAAGGGGCCAAGGATAGAAAACAGTGTCAGAAGAAAAAAAAAGACTGTCAAATGAAGGAGAGGAAAATGAGATTGGAGCAGGAAGGACAAATGAAGTGAACCTCCACTTTATTCTGGACACCACATCATAAGGCTTTGGTACCTGGGCCAGGCAGGGAAACGCTGGACCTTCTCATCTCCAAAGGTAAAAAAATATTGGTGTTAATGTGTTCACTTTTATTTACTGAGTGTCAGGAAGCACAGAGTGCCGTTGGGTAGGGGTGTTGCTGATTGGCTAGAGCGGTCAGCTGGCACTCTAAGCCAATCAGTAGCTCCCCATTCATAAAAAAGTAAAAATATTTTATGAACCGGGAACTAGCGATTGGCTTAGAGCGTCAACTGACCACTCTAGCCAATCAGCGGCACCCATGCCTGACGCCAATCTGCACTTCCTGACACTCTGTTTCAGAAGCCAAATACCACTGAGCGACCTGGAGCTGGAGGAAGCCTTTGGGGTTAAACCATTTGAGAGCGATTTAACCCCTTAAAGGAAAGCGAGCACCCAGGGGCTTCCTGGCATCATAGCATTTTCATTTAGGTGAAGTTGTTATGGTGACCAGAAATGTCCTTTAATTTGCTTAAGGGAACACTATAGTGTCAGGAATACAAACATATATTCCTGACACCATAGTTGTGAAAACGCTATTCACCCTGGCTTTATGTGATAATGGCTATGCCCCTTCCTTTTCATGACACTGTCAAAAAGGTACCAAGCATGGATGTCATTACAATTATGCCCCCCCCTGGAAAAATTCCTGCGGACGCCCATGGTTAAATGCTAACTATTTCAAATTCTAATAGAATAACGACAGGCAAAATTATAAAAAAATGGCTAACTAAACATTAAAATGTGAATAGAACAGTTTAATTTCATCTACCTTGCAGGCCTCCCAACTGTCCCTATTTTAGTGTCCTGATTTTACAGGTATTCTTGGGCAGCACAGTGTGAACGCATTGTTAGATGCACTTGCACAATCATACGGGCAGTGGGACTATGCAGAGAGCGCTTCAGCAGTGCTCTCTGCATGGTCTTCTACTTAGGGGGCTGGCTGGACAGGCTAGACTGAAGTTGACACTATGAGAAGGTCTATTTTCTTTTCTGGTGATGTTTGGACCATTGTGGACATCACCAGTGATGCAAGCTGTGTCACTAGCAATCCCAATACCATACCTCTCAATGTTGGGAGGTATGATCTTGGCCCCCTGTCTGTCTACTCTACCCTTTTCTGTTAGTAAACATAGTAAATGGAGAAACAGGAACTTTTCTCCTCATCCAATGCAATGCTTGCGTGTGCTGCCAGGATCGAACTGGTTTGTGATGTCAGCTGCTAAATCTTAATATACATTAAAAAAACAACAACAAAAACCCATAATCAGATTTATACAAGTTAGATGTGATTTCCAATGTTTTATTCAATAGCTTAATTTCCAAAGAAATGGAAAGTTCCCCTTTAAATTAAGTAAAGTAATTACTATTAACAGAAACACACACCTGTCATTGTTGATATTTCTTCAAGTTCTTTTTCCGCATTTGGCCCAACTGCTATGACATGAATAATTACTCCACTATTTTTTATGTCTGAGAAGCAAAGCCTGGTGTCATTATTATCCTCTCCGTCTGTTAATAGCACAAGTTCAGTACCATATGATGTTCCGTCCTGTCCTTTATTTACCTGAATATGAGATGAGATGGTGAAAGGGAACATGGATGAAAAATTAGTGATACATTAATGACCCTTGACTCATAAAATGTTTTAGGGAGAACAATGGCATACCTCAATACCCAAACGAATTCCTGCACAAATGTCAGTTCTTTCATTCATTGTTGAAGATGGAATCATAGCTTTAAAAACTTCTTTCTGATTCTTGGTGAGATTCTTTAGTGGTGAAATGACTGATGCAATGTTACAGAATTGCACAATCCCAACATATGTGTTGGTTTCAATAATTTGAATCAGAAAGACATCTGCTGCTTGACGAAGTCTCCCAATCCTATCATTCTGTAATAGACAGAATGGAGAAATGTAATACAATGATTATTTTAATAAAAATCAATGATAATTGGCAAAGCTATCAATAATCCCTAATGCTCAAAGTATACCTCCTAACATTGAAAGGTATGTCATCAGGACAGGTAGATGAGAACTGAGAGGGGGATCGACAGTGAATGTGAATGCCTACCCTGACTGTCTCTCTGGCTGACCCCCAACAGAGAAGACCATGCAAAGAGCATTCTAAAACACTCTCTGCATTGCCCTAGTGCCCTTGACAGAGCACTAGAGAGAAAGTTCCCTGGAAGCAGGACACTAAGGCACACAATCGGACAGCAAGACAGGATCCTAAAATAAGTAATGTCCTACTGAAATTGGGGCTGTTGGGAGGCCTCTCAAAGTGATGTTACTGAATATTTCAACACATATCAGTTATCTAGGCTCTAGCTTTGTTTGGCGGATGTTGTGCAATATCGATTTACCATTTCAAAGTTTCCTCTGTTTTAGCATATAGCAGCAGTTATGGATAGATGCTGCAATATATTAAATAAATACAAGTTTCTAATTTTAACTTGCAATATTTTTTTTCTGAATATGCACTCTGTATAATTATTTATATTTTTCATGTGGAAACTTTCACACAAAACTTCAATAAGAGAATTACCAAGCACCTGGCCATTTCAGGGGTGCAAAACAGAGGGGGAATCGCCATTGGGGATACTATGGGGTTTTTCATTGTTGGGGCTGGTCTGACATTTTTTATTAATATTTGAATGGCACTTTAACACTGATTTGCAGGCAGCCTGTGACATTATCAGCAGTCATAGACATGACAAGGGAGGCCAAAACATATTTCCACATTTGCAATTGGTGAAAAACGCAATAAAAAAAATCCAATCATACTACTTATTTTCCTGTGTCTATGTTTCTTGAAGAGTAATAATGAACAAAAGTAGGAAGATAGCTGCTCTATTCACCTAAAAACTAGTATCAATGTGTACTTTAATTTGCTCAGTAGTACTACAGTCATCCATATGACAGACTAAGCAACCATATGTTTTATATGACAGACTAAGCAACCATTTGTTTGATATGTGCACTACTAAACACACAGGAGAGTAGGATGCTGTATAAGTAAAGGGCTGCACTGTTGAGCTTGTAAGATTTTGACTGAATCAAGAATGTTTTCAACAGTCTTTCAAGGCAGGCTTTATAAATGGAATATAAGGCTGCATCAGCTACTGTATCTTAGAGGGACACTACAGGTATCAAAACAACTTTAGCTTAATGAAGCAGTTTTGGTGCATAGATCATGCCTCTTCAGTTTCACTGCTCAATTCTCTGTCATTTATGAATTAAATATCATTTTTCTATTTATGCAGCCATAGGCACACCTCCCTTGGTTGTGACTCACACACCATGCGTGAAAAATATGGTTTAATTTTTAACACCTTAAGGACTGGACTGTTTTTGCGATGTTGTACATTGCGACCAGGCATATTTTTACACTTTTGTGGTGTTTGTGTTTGGCTGGAATTTTCCGCTCTCTCATTTACTGTTCCCATACAAATTATATATTGTTTTTTTCAGGACAAAAGGGGCTTTCTTTACATACCATTATTTATATAATCTCATGTATTTTAATTTAAAAAAAATAAAAAAATATGATGAAAAATTGAAAAAAATACATGTTTTTTGACTTTTACTTGAAAAATCTTTTACTCATCTACAAAAGCGAATTAAAAAAACTGCTAAATAGATTCAAAATTTTGTCCTGAGTTTAAAAATACCCCGTGTTTACATGCTTTTTTGCTTTTTTTTGCATGTTATAGGGCTATAGGTACAAGTAGAATATTGCGGTTTCAAAACATAAATTTTTAAAATTTATCAATAGTGACATTGTAACACTATTATCTGTCATAAATCTCTGAATAACACCCCACATGTACATATTTTTTTTAAAGTAGACAACCCAGGGTATTCAATATGGGGTATGTCCAGTCTTTTTTAGTAGCCACTTAGTCGAAAACACTGGCCAAAATAAGCATTCATATTTGTTTGTGTGTGAAAAAAGTAAAAAAACTAAATTGAACGCTAATTTTGGCCAGTGTTTGTGACCAAGTGGTTACTAAAAAAGACTGGACATACCCCATTTGCAATACCTTGGGTTGTCTTCTTTTGCAAATGGTATGCCATCATGGGGGCAATTCTCATTCCTGGGCTACCATACGCTCTCAAAGGCAACGTAACCAACCTGGCCATTTTCAATGTAAAAATATTTGACCCATATATTTGACCTTGTAACTTTCAAAAATGCTATAAAACCTGTACATGGGGGGTACTGTTTTACTCAGGAGACATCGCTGAACACAAATATTAGTGTTTAAAAACTGGAAAACGTATCACAACAATTATATCATCAGTAAAAGTGCTGTTTGTGTGTGAAAAATGCAAAAAAGTCACTTTCACTGACAATATCATTGCTGTGATATGTTTTACTGTTTTGAATCACTAATATTTGTGTTCAGCGAAGTCTCCCGAGTAAAACAGTACCCCCCATGTACAGGTTTTAGGGTGTCGTAGAACGTTACAGGGTAAAATACAGTGCTAGCAAATTCAATTCTCTGGAATTTCGGCCTGGGTTGGCAGGCAGGTCCCTTAAATTGCAATCAATAAAATTACTGAATTATGTAAAACTATTACATAAATACGCACGTAGAATTTAAATATATATGCATATTTATATATTTGAAGTCTACGTGTATATTTATATAATTATTTATGTAATTTTGTATATGGACATATGTATATTTCTTATTATTTTTATTTATTTTTATATTCATAGATATATATACAAATTCATTCTAAGTGTATTTTGATATAAATATATATATATTAATTTTAAAATACAGTTAGAATAAAATTTCATATAGCTATATAATTTTTTTAAATTTTTTTATTATTATTTAAAAAATTTTTTATTTAATTTAAATTACTTATGATTTATATTTTATAATAATATATACAATATATATAGTTATTATATATATTATATATATACACGTGTGTAATTTAATTATAAGTGTATTTTTATATTAATATAAGTACATATTAATATAAAAATACACTTAGTATGGCATTATATATATATGATATATAGACATATATTATATACATATAATATATGTCTATATATCATATATACACATATATAATTTTTTTTATTTTTTATTAACACTAACTTTATTTTTTTTTCTGATTTTACACTAGCAGGGAGACTGCCTGTCAGCACACACAGTCCCCCTGCAGGCAGACACATGGACACCTATTGTGACCATGTGATCACTGTGTTAAGCGATCACATGGCCACAGGGGTCCTAATTCAGTGTGGGGAGACTGTCTGGGCTGCAGGCAGTCTCCCCACAACCGGAGCCACGCTGATCGCCGCCGGGGGAACGACGGCCATTAGGTAAGTAACTAAGACCGTTAGGACGGTTCAGGACCGTCATCAGTCCTCAAGGCAAAAATGCCGATGACGGTCCTGAACCGTCCTCGGTCGCTAAGGGGTTAATCAAATGTTAGCTTGCTTTAGAAATGTTTGTATCCTGCTTGAACTTTAAGCACACACAAGTTCTAGAAGGCTATTAACAGTGCCAGAGATAAGAAATCATAAATTAAACAGAATGTGCAGTAAAGGAAGTTTAAACAGTTTAAACATTAGAGCTCTTGTATTAAGTGGGGGGACTGCTTAACAGCCAAACTGTATTGAGTTCTCTGTGAAGCACATGGCCTTTCACCAGGCAAAACCAATTGGGTTGTTTGTTGTTAAACTACTCCTCCTATGCCTTCCAGTGCAATCCCTCTATCCCCAGGAGGTACTCTGGTTCTGTTAGATCCTAAGTGATTGACTGAGAGAGGTGTGTCCCACAGAAGCATGGGCTAACCTGTTAAAAGCCCCGTGATCAGCTGATGATCAATGGAGTGGTAACTGTATCACGTGTCTATTCATGTTTCATTATGTTAATATAGTTTACTTTCCATTCAATCAATGATTAGTTTTGTTAGCAACATATACTAGCCTATTTCAAATGTATATGTATTGTTTATTTGTTTGATTAGCCTCTTAATAAATATTATTGAATTGCCGAAAGCAAGGAGTGTGGAATCTGACTTTACACTCGGTTTTCGAGTTATAATTTTTAGTTATTAATTGTATTAATTGCACGAGTTTCCTTCAGCTCTCTTTACATGAAGTGTTCAGGAAGGCTGTGCAAGTCACGTGCAGAGAGGTGTGACTAGGGCTGCATAAGCAAAGTGATTTAGGTTCTAAATAGCAGATAATTGAGCAATGAGACTACAGAGGCATGATTTATGCACCAAAACTGCTCCATTGAGCTAAGATTGCTATAGTGCTTATAATGTCCCCTTTAAGCTCTACTTTTGTGTTTCCCTTATTGGCTGGGCATTGATTGCATTACTGTTTATCATAATCCTGATCACTTTCTATATTTAGAAGGTTAAAATTGTAGCTTCACTATTCCTGACTTGGTTAGTTTTTTAAAATATTTTCTAAGGTGCTCAACCAGTTTAGATAAATTGAAAATGCAGCTTACAAACATCTTTATTGTTGAGGTTAACTGTCATATAGTTCTATAAAAACAAATGTCTAGACTTTCGTTGTTATCATTGTTGCCAACTTCTATAGGTACTGAGAGTCATTAGAGTATTCTAGGGTTCTGTATCACAAACAACAGGGTTTAACCTTCAAACTTGCATTTGTACTGTCTGTTCAATACACACCAAGCTCATACTTCCAGAAACATCAATCACTAAAGTGACCACTCTGTCCCTGTTCTGCAGCATTGTAAAGGAAGGGATTGGAATGTTGTTAGTTGTTGATGGAGTAGTAGAGGTGATATCACTGGAATCCATGATGACACTCCATGTGCTACGTGAATCACACATTCGGTTATGTAGATTTGGAGCCTCAGTGTTGTGATTGCTGTCATCACAAAATGCAGACACCTGAAAGTAAATATACAACTATGGTATGGGCTATGCAGAATGCATGGAACAATTCAATGGAATACATAGTTTATGTTTAGGCTTCATACCAGTATTAATTAAAACTGTGTTTTTAAAAATGAATAGATTTAAAATATTTACCAAGAGTCAACATACCTCTGTTGGGATTGTTTGGTTTAATTACTTTTTTCTAAAAAAATAATTGTTACTTTTAAAGTTAAAAGTGGTTTTATATATATTTTTAAAATTGCTGCACTCTTTTAAAGGTACAGAGTTTATTTTCTATCCAGACCCTCCTGTGGTGGTTTTCAACAACCTATCAGTGCAGGATATTATCGGACATCTAAAAGGAACACTATAGTGTCAGAAATACAATTGTGTATTGCTGACACTATAATTTTGAAAGCATATTTCATGTAGCGGGCCCCCCTCTCCTTACTTTAAAAAGGCATTTTTTTACCTTTTTCCAAGACCACACAGAGTGCACCACTGAGAAAGTAAGCACCTATAGTGGCTGTCTAAATGACTGCCACTAGAGGTGTTCCTAGGCAGTAATGTTTACATTAAAAAACCTGCTTGGACAGGCTGTAGACACCAGATCAACTACATTAAAGGGATACTGTTGTGCCAGGAATACAAAGCTGTATTCCTGGCAATACCAATCCCTCTGCCTGCCCACTCCATAGCACCTCTTCCACAGTAAAAAGAGGGTGAAAAACCCTTTATTTACTTACCTTATCCCAGCGCTGATGGGATCAAATCTGTCCCGCGACGAGTGGGCTCTAATGCGCATGCGCAGCAAATGCCGCACATGCATTAGACATCCCTAAAGGAAAGCATTGAATCAATGCTTTCCTATGGGGATAATCTGACTCTGGAGGTCCTCATGCAGTGCGTGAGGACGTCCAGCATCAGATAACGGACCAAAAGTACGTTTGGATTCCGGAAGCCCTCTAGTGGCTGTCTGGTAGACAGTGTCCCTTTAAGCTGCAGTTGTCCTGGTGAATTTAACTAAGTGTAAACATCACAACTAAATTTTGAGTTTTTCACTAACCACCAAGTTGTAGTAAACAGAAAACTGAACTGCACAATTTTGGCTAAAATAATCAGAATGAGAAATAAAACATCAGATAGCCTGTTATTGGTGATGGAAGAGTCAGCTGCAGTCAGCTTTTCTAAGTTGTTGTAAGGATACATACACTTACGTCATGCAACTCACCTGGTGCCCCTACGTCCCCAAGTAGGCACCACGTCAGTTTCAGACTTTCCCAGTATTTCTGATGCAAAACACTGGATTTTGCATCCTTTTTTATTGACATGCCATGCCCACCTTAAAAAATAATCGCTGCATAATTGCATCATACCTGATGTCCACTCACAGGTATCATCTTGTCAGGCTAGCTTACACCATTACACCACTGGGCACTAAAATGGCAGATTAAATTTAACGTAGAGAAATGCAAATTTATGCACTTTGGAGTCAAGAATGCACAAGCAACTTACACCCCAAATGGTAGTGAATTAGGGATAACCACACACGAGAAGGATTTGGGAATTGTTATAGACAACAAATTAGGCAGCAATATGCAATGTCAATCTGCAGTTACTAAGGCTAGTAAGGTTTTGTCATGTATAAATAGGGGCATAAATTGTCTTTACCCATTCCACATCTACCTTGGACCTATTTGGCAATGGATTTTATTGTAGATCTACCCCATGCTAATAGATTTAGCTTTAGTCCCATTTAATTCATTTGCCTACGCTGCCTTCCTCAACTGAGTTAGCCAAGATATCTGCTAACTTTGTTCTGGGAGCATGGAAATTATCCAGGAAATTGAATCTGACAGAGGGTCTCAATTACTTCTCATCCACAGTCTAATGGAGTTGTCAAGTGTGCGAATCGATCCTTGGAATAATACTTAAATTGTATCACACTCTCAAGATATCTGGGCTGTCCTGTTTCCTTGGGCACAATGCGGCAGTAATAACTCCACACATCATTCCCCTGGGCATAGTCCTTTCCTCATAGTATATGGTCAGCATCCTACTGTCCTTCCAGTGACCTTCTCAAAAAAGGGAAGGCCTGTCTTGGATGCGCAGTCAGATCACCCAAAAGGCATCCAAGGCAGCCGCCTACGGTCAGGGCTCAGAAAATGAATTATCCTTGCCGGCTCTTTAGAAATACTTCCATGGTGTAAACGCAGTCCCTTAAGGTTATGGCCCTCTGTGAGAGAGTCAGAGCACAGGCACTGGGTTTACCAGCCTGCACTCTGATGTCCTCAAAAAGCTTTGGACCAAAAGACCTGTGGCTGCATTAGGAGCCCACCAAAGACCCTACAGGACCACCAGGGATCCCACTTTACTAACATGAAACACAACAAACCAACAGTAAATCCACTAGGGAGCCTACTGGATCACCAGGTACCCCACTTGACCACCATGGAATCCAACTGGGATCTCAGTGGAACACAAGGGCCTACACTGGACCATGAGGGACCCTGTTGTACCACCAGGTAATCCACCAGGGAATCCAACAGGGATCCCACTACACCACCAGGAAATCCACCAGGGACCCCAGAACCTTCTTCATATAGACATGTATTTGAGTCAAATTTACAAGAATTTGTATTAACAAGAAGATAACCAGGAATTCCACCTGGGACACCACAGGACCATGCTGTTAAATTCTGGCAAAAGTTACATCTGTTAAGGCCTGTGCATACATTACAGATACAACTTACATCAGTTAGAGCCTGTGCATACATTATAGATTCTTGCCCAAACTGGTATATGTCAGGCACAAACACACAACCCTCTTCATATAGACCTGTCTTCGAGTCAAAATTACAAGCTTTTGTTGGACAAGAAGTTCCTTGACATTGGTTTGGCTGGAGTATGTTGATTCCAAATATATCCAGTGAGCACCTGACACAAAACAAACAATGTTACTAATTCGTCATTTCAAATATAAACTTTGGCTATTACCAAAAGGGTTGCACAAGTAAAGTGTTAATTCAATATGTAAAAATAAATCAATCTATTTTTACATTCCTATGTTTATAATGGGTTTGTTTGTAAGATGTACTTATATAATAGTTGCTCCAAAATAGCATTGTCTGAGAATAATGATTTATTTGCTTGCAAATCTAGCCATTGATTGCAACTAAGAGCGGTTGGATAAGTAAACTGATATAAAGGAACTAACCATGAAGAGTCACATCACGAACAAATGCAACACTCAAAATAGTCAATTATATAACTTATTGCACTGTGTGAACAAATGTAAACATATTGGGGAGGGGAACATCATACAGGATGCCATACAGGATACCCGATGCTGTGTTCTACAGTGTTGTTCACTAAAGTCAGACTAGCCCCATACTGAATGGGGTAAAATGTGCGCTGCAAAATACTGTCAATGTTTAAACTATGTAATAGTGTCAAGATTTTGGTTGGAATTAGCTTTCTTAAATATGCCTTTCCAGTCAAAATTCACAATTTTTACCAGCTTTTGTTTATCTGGAGAAAATCAAGTGTTTCATGAATACCCCTAACAGAGTACCTGTGAGAAGGAGTTAACATGCATCCCCTTCTATTTTTTTTAATTTCAAGTTGTTGTGCCATTTTTGTATTTGTAGAGTTTTAAGAATGATGTTTAAAGTAAAGAAAAAGTAGAGAGAGTGTGTCAGCTTCCTGAACATTCGTGGGAGGTAACCCCTTGGTATAAATTAACTGAAACAAGGAAGAAAAAAGTACAAGAAGTCTATAGAAGGGAAAACAAGAGAGAGAGATATCTAACAAGAAAGCCCCATGGAAATTCTTGTACTGTAACAGCAACCCTGGGTGTTCTTCTCATAAAGAGAAAGAATAAGCAGTCCCCACGCGCGTTTCGCCGAGTATCGGCTCTTTAAAGGGAGATACTCAGCGAAACGCGCATCAGGACTGCTTATTAACATGAGGGTGGAGGGGGATGACAGGGGACCATGCTGCAGCTGCAATATTTTATTATTTTCCTCTGGTTTAGCCACCTTACTTGATGATCTTATTACGTTTAGTTAGGTAGCCGTGTTGACAGTTCGGCTGCTGTTCTACTGCAGAAGGGAATTAGATTTTGCCACTAAGGTGGCACAGAATGATGGGAGTTGGGGGGGTAGTTAATTGTAAATATAGATACTATAAATTCTAGTGTCTTTTTGTCTATACCTCTTTTACCTCTGTGCCACTAGTGTTTGCCAAACAGACAGGGGCAGCACAGGCTAACTATCATTTTTCTTCTCTCAACTTTTTATTTATTTGCTTTTCACTTTCAGTTATTTTAACTATTAGAATTAAAAGTTACATTTTATTTCTCTTTATGAGAAGAACACCCAGGGTTGCTGTTAAAGTACAAGAATTTCCAGGGGGGTTTCTTGATAGATATCTCTCTCTCTCATGTTTCCCCTTCTATAGACTTCTTGTATTTTTTTCTTCCTTGTTTCTGTTAATTTAAGAATGATGTTCTCACCACACTTTGTTAATATAACATAAAATCTACCTTGTTGCCTCTACTTTAAAACTTCCATGGATATAATAGGGGTTATCATAACTGTATTCATCAAATACTCCCCATCGAAGGTGAGCCCATTCATGTACAAGCACTCTTCCTGCAAAGGAAAGTAAAAAAAATTGTGTTGTTCCTCTTGCATTTTTTACTTGGATAATATAAGAACTGTCTGTCCGCTAAAAAAAAAATCCCAAGAGAAAAATATTTTTGGAGGCTATGTTAGAATTGCAAACAGCACTTATAAAATCATGCTGATGCCAATATCTTTGAAAAATACTTATCAACTATGACCTTGAATTAATATTTTTGGATAAACTTTTAAAATTATTTAATATTATGAAAATAGTTTAATTTGGTAATATTTTGATAATTATTATATATATATATATATATATATATATATATATATATATTATTATTATTTTTTTTTTAATATGTTGAAAATATAATTTTAAACATTTACCCAAAGATATTAAATAATCTGAAAAGTGTATCCAACAATATAAATTGAGGCCTACGGCCATTGAGGTCTAGGAATGTCATCATCACCCCAAAATAGCTGGATCGCAGCTGATAGCTGTGCACATTAAATACATGTCTCTGAATGAGCCCAATAAACTTTTGCTCTATTAATACCCTTTAGAATGCATGAGAATAATAACTTTTTAAGTATGACAATTTATAGAGCCCTATCTCAAAAATGTGTGTTCAGCTTTTAAATGTTCTACAAACAGTATAGCTAGATTTATTGTTTTAATGTATTTTGTATTATTTTTCATTATATTCTTCTTACTAGCCTTCAAATTAATCATATAACCAGAGCCTGCTTTTCTCTGCTAAAAATATACTAACAAAAAAATACAGCTTGATTTAATTTTAAAGGAAATTTCCCTATAGAGCTTTTTTATAAACCTCAATAATAGAAATCCGACTACATGCCAACGTAATATCTTCCTCAAGGTCTTCAGATTCTCTCACAACTCATCTCTTGAAAGATTCTTACGAATTATTCTACTAATAGTAACACACATTATAATAACATTCTAACCAACAAATACCTTTTGCATTATATTGCCAAACAACCTACAAACTGCTGTCAAAACTTGCAATCTAAATAATTTTTATGGTACTATACTCTTTTCTTGTATTTTGCACAATGGTTATTAATTAGTGTTCTTTTAATCAACAGAAAACGATGTATGTTACCTCGTGGTCCATAAACTGAGATCAAATTGTCATCCAACAAGAAACTCGGAGTCAAATGAATGTATCTTCCTTGTTCACCACACAGCCCATATTGTAATGTGTACGGGTCATTGCCATATTTCAAATAAGGATCTGCAACAATAACATCAGCCTAACAAAAGTAAAAGATAGGTGTGTTAGTAGTAGCATATGAATCCAAATACATGTTCTGAAAGACTTTTGAATGACCTACATATATATTATTATCTCCATCTAACAATCTCAACATTTTATTTATGTCTCTGTTCACCCACTATCTTGTTCTTTCCTAATACCCTGCCATTAATTTATCCCCTTACCATTGCTTGATCCCCATTAGCAACTCTTCTCACTCTGCTCATTTTACCTGAGAGCATTACAACTATTATTATTGTCTATTATGTATTAATCTTTAGAGCGACATATTATTTATATGATGGAGTGAAGACATACAACTGAACATGTTACCACTGGTGGCTTACTATAGCTGCTGTGAACTATGGTTGACATAATGCTCAGAAATCAGTTTTGTTGGGTAAGAATCGTGCGGATCAATGGTTTACGGCAGCTGAACTACCATTGCTTATTCATCACCATTATGTTCTATTTAATTTGTCTGTTTGATCTTAATTTGGATCACCATGCACTACAGGGTGAAGCTACAGCAGCTACAATTCGTCAAGTACAAACAATAGTAACATAACATATTGTTTCTGTCCCATTGCGAAGAGCATGCACTGTAAATCTATTATAGATAATGCAACACTAACTGAAACATTACTACTTACCTTATCATATGTTTCAGTTGTTGGTTTAGTGTAATTGTTTGATGACCATGTAGATGGGATTAAAATTTTCACATTCCTTATGAAGAGCCTCTTTTTGGTAGCTTGAAATAAATATTGTGTTGCCTCTTTAACCATATTCTTTCAAATTAGAAGAAAAATTAAAAGAAAAAAAATGTAGAAAAAGAATTGAAAGCGATACATTTACTGAGTTATTGAACAAAAAAGACTTCTGTAAGCAGAATGAACACCAATCTCTTACATTCCCTGTTAAACACAATTTATGACCACATAATCCGCTGTGTTCAGAGACCATCATACAATTGCTAACTGTCTAAATAATCAAATCCAGGGATTTGTAAAATTTATTAAACCTATAGCAGGAAATCACAGAGATTCAAATATAATTTAATCTGTGTAAAATATGTATGATGAAATTATCTCTTAACTAGGAGAGATTCTGTTTGTTTATCCTCAGACTCTGACAATGGATTAAATACCCCAAGTGATACAAAAATATGTTTGGAAGAAGTCATCACATTGTCTTTTACATTTGTCACAATGTACATGTCTGACGCCTTCTTTTTCTTTCTGTTAGCTCCTCACCCTTTGCAAATGAAGTTTGTATAAAACAGGAAAACTTGGAAGGGATATACATCTGCCATCTGATTTCATAGTTTGGATAAAGAAGTCTATAAATGGGGATAGGAATCCATTAATTAATGTAAATGATACAAATTGCCCAGCAAACCACATCCCCACCTCCCCCTGTGTCTGGAAACTTACCTTATGAACACTAAATGGGAGTAAACTGTGTGACAAAGGAATAGGAACTACATGGTCCACTCAACTTTATACTCTTATCTTACTGCACAAAGAATGGATTCAGAAAAAGGGAAAGTGTTAACCCCGTCACCATAAATAATTGCTTAAGGGTCAGCTTGTGTCCCCTCTAGTTAATGGAATTCCAAATTAACTTTAATCATAGGGTGGGTAAGCACCATAAGCTCTAGCTGGTGGTGATTCCATAACTCATTCTAAAGAACTCCGCTGCATTAACCTCTGATCATTCATAGTCATTATGGGACCCTAAAAGAAATTCACAATCTCACTGAGTATAGGAGCAAAAGCAGGCATAAGAATCCTGCTCTGTACATTGAGTTACATTACACCTCATACATAGAGTTATTCACTAAAGTGAGCATGGCCAGGAGTTCAAAATAAATTTTACATTTAAGGCCAAAATAGCCAAACTAGAAAGTTTCTCCAAGCTAGCTATGCTTCCAGTTCAGCTATTTTTCCTTTGATTTGACAGTTCTGATTTCACAACAACTGTCACTTTAGTAAATAACCCTGACAGTTTGCTCAGTGATTTTACAACCTGTAATAGAAAATCATCTACATTTCGAACATTACACGATTATTATTTAGATAGCCAATATGGATAAGTTGCAATATTCATTGAATTGCTAACTGAGATTTTTCCCTCAAACTGCTATTCCACTCTTAATTGTTTTGTAAAATCAGTGCAACCCAAACTTTTATTTATACTCAATAATTTTTTTTAAAAAACCTCTAGAAGTCCTCTTTATAGCTCCTAATTAAAAAGAAAATAGCTTTTAACAATTGTATCCCTTTTTACAATTGCAATTTTAATACAGTTCCTTGAAAGATATGAAATGCTATTGCGTCAAATCTCTGCTTCTACTAATTCTTTAAATACATTTCAAATCATGTTGTAGCATATAAGACAAAAAATGTAATAGTTAAGTTTCATTTTCTTTATTATATGTTTTCTAAAATGTGAGCACTTATATTTCACACAAACATATAGACAAACATACAGATATTCACACAAATATCTATGAATTTATATTTTCTAGCAATTTGGCAATAAGCAATGATAAAGTTAATAGTGGCAAGAGAACATGTTCTCTTATATTTACAAAGTTCTACTGGATTTCCAAAATTATTATATTTTTCCTAATCATATTTCACAAGTCTTACCTGAATGCTGTCAATTATTCTGCTATCTTCCTTTAAGGCAGGATTAATTGCAATAACAATATCTTCATATCCACCATTATTAACCTTGACCATTGAACATTTAGTTGTATGCAGAACAAGAGAAGTTAAAATTAAATAAAATATATTCCAGTAAGCCATTCTCTATCTTGGGCCGGCTAAAAGCTTGTTAAGCTATATGTCCTCAACATTAATAACAGCTTATCACAACTACGAATGGACTTTGCCACATTGTTACATATTATTTTATGTGTGAATGATAACACCGGTATGATTAGTTAGCATAGGCTGTAATAAGGAAATACTATTTATATATTCTTGATAAGCAGCTTTTACAATTGTCCATATCATTATTTGGGATGATGTTCTGAAATGAAACACTGGGTGGGGATATTGAATAAAAGTCAGGTTTGCAGTGACTTCTTCAAACTTGTACTATGCCAAGAGTGTAAGACTTAAAATATGAATAAAAAATGTGCAATATACAATGACGCTAAAAAAGTGCAGCCAATCCCTCCATTGGAATAAATCATCCAATTCCACCAAATAAGTACAAATACAATAACACAGAAAAATACTATTTGTGAAAAGGAGAATTTCCCCCATAGAGATAGGATTACCGGGATAAGGGAGGAAATGGGAAGCCTCCCTCTGAGAAATAGATATGAGCCACTGAGATCAGAAGAAGATTTTTTTTAGGAATACCCAATCAGGAAAACTTATGGCCAAAACCATCGTGACCACCCTTAAAAAGTAGGCAAGAAACCCAAGATGAGGAAATAGAGGAGGGAGGTAGATCAATAAGGCCAAGGTAAATTTAGAAGAATTTAAGGAACCTATAAACATTTTGAATCTCTCTAAAAAAAAAACGTAAATCATAATCATGAAAGTGTTTTAAGGAAATGTTTTAAATTTGCCCCAGACTGTAGTCTTGATAAATTCAAAACCTTAATAGATACATAAGAAAATTGTGTCTTAAAAAAATATTTTTAAAATAATGATACTCGCATACAAGAGAGCATTAACGATAATTTTAAACATACTAATTTAAAACCCAAGTCCACATTATTTCCACTGCATTTAAAATCTCATAATATGAAGACTTTTGAGAAAGCAGTGGTTGGGAATCTAAAGAAAATCAAACCCTTCATTAGATTTCAACAAAATCTAACCAAGGAAGAGAAAAAAGCCCTGCAAGATTTAAAATCTAATAATAATATCATAATCAAACCAGCAGATAAGGGAAGAGGGGTGGTTTTAACGGATAAGTCATTTTATATGGAAGACATTTCTAGCAAATGATGAAGGATATAAAACTGGTGTTTTAAATAAAAATGAATATACTTTTTTTAAATGAGAAACTTAAAAAAATCTAGTGATTTATGTCCTTCCCAAATTGTATAAAAATACCACCCAACCTCCCGACAGACCTATTGTGGCAGGGGTAGACACACTTTTGTCCCCCCTCTCACACTATATTGATCTGCAACTTCTGCCTATTGTGGTGAAGAGCCCCTCTTATATAAAGGATGCAATGGATCTTTGTTGGATTTTAGATGATTTTAGATAGAATAGAGACTAAACACTAGTTACTTGTGATCTGAGTAATCTCTATACCATGGGTAGGCAACTTGCGGCACTCCAGATGTTGTGCACTACATCCCCCATAATGCTCTTACACCCATAAAGCTGGTAAAGCATCATGGGAGGTATAGTCCAAAACATCTGGAGTGCCAAAGGTTGCCTACATCTGCTCTATAACACCATAAAACATAATAAAGGATGTGAGGCAGTTGAATATTTTATTTTAAAGAATCAGGAAGTTTTTATTTTATTCAGACCAATTTTATATTTGTCTAATATTAAATAACTATTTTTTTTGTTTGTGGAAGAATTAGTTAGTTACAAAGAGAGGTACACCTATGGGGACCAAGTTTTCCCCAGCTATGTTAATGTCTTTATGTTTTTTGGGGATCAATCCTATATTTATGCAGTGCATGGCTGGATGGCAAATTTGGTCCTTTATAGAAGATATAACTGACAATGCATTTTTTATATGGAAAGGTGACTGTGCCTCGTTTGGTATGTTTTTATCTTTTTTTAGATTTCAATACCTGAGCGATTAAATTTACTCAGCTCCCTTGAAATCAATTTTTTAGAATTTAAAATTTATATTGAAAATTAGGTATTAAAAACATGTACATTTGATAAGATATGATAAGCAGGAGGTAGAAAACCAGTTTGGAGAAATAAAAAATAAACCGACACAAGAACTTGCAGTATATGAAAAGAAAGGCCCTGTAATAAATGAACAAATTAATTTTATTTGTAATTATAGCTCTCAAAATATATATTTTTTTAAATTGAAGAAACATTAGCACATTTTAAGTCAAAATGAAGAATTACGCAAATATATTATAACAAACTGAAAATTGCCTACAGAGGGGTAAAGAATCTTAAATAGATGTTACTACAAGTTGTGTTTCTCAAGAGAGGAAAGACAAAGATTTATTTGGTAGTGAAATAAAAGGATCTTTTAATTGTGGTTGGTGCAAAGCATGTTAAGAAAGCCACCACTAAAACAAACAAAAAAATATATATTTTCTAAGATCACCAATAAAATGTATAATATAGATTCATGTATAAATATAGTTTATTTGTTCACATGTTAATGTGGCCTACAATATATAGCTGGACAACTAGATTATTAAGGATTAGGATAAGGGAGCATTTTCGAAATATAAAGAAAATGCTTAGTGCACTTTGCCCAGGTTTATAATGGGTTTCCTAAATATTTGCACTTTCTTGGAACACAAATGGTAGAAAAACATTATAGCGGGGGGGAGGGGGCAGGGGACCACATAATAAAAATTAAATAAAGCTTAAATGAGGTAGATATTTGAAATAGAGACCTTATCCCCTCTGGGACTTAATATAGATTTTTAAACTAGCAATTATATCTAAAATATCTTTTGTATTATATCAATATAGTGATCTTTTGTGATTTTGTATATTTCATAATTAATTTTACTGATTTTATCTGTTTGATATTGAATTTGTATATGTAAAATGTAACAGCTTGAAGGTAACATTTATTTTGTATGCCACTTATATGTTGCACTGTTAATGCCCATTAAATATATGGCGTCCGAAAACTATATCGCCATATAGTGTGAACTGCCTAATTGACTCCGCCTAATTAAAGGAATTTAAACAGTAAGACAGAATGAATCTCTCCAGCCCGCCCACATAGGAAATAGAGATGACAGCGCACCATACATAAGAAGCGTAGCGCTATCTCCAGAAGGACGCATATTATGGACGTCGTAGAAGCGAGTCACAGGAAGTGCCTGCTCTGCCATATGAACGTATAGACAGACTGCCATTAGGGGTTTGATATCCTAGAGCATTATGGTCCAAACTGGATGGTTCTCCATATTGGAGGAGGCAACCATGAATAGAATAAGGGGAGTTTATTACCAGGGTGAATGGAGTTATACTTGATTCGAAGGGGTATTAAAATTGGGACTAACCTGGGACTAACCTTCAGAATGATATAATGCACCTTAGGAAGACCCATGAAAGATCAAAATGCATTGTGTTGATATTAACAGCAAAAGGAGCCTTACTTTTATGTAAAATTTGACTTGTTTTTATAAACTATGTCTTAATTTAATTTGGTGCTTTTCCATTTTTATGTGTTTTGAGATGATTTAAGTACAAGATCTTCAACTGAGAATACCATCACCACTCCAAAAGCTGTTATACCTGAGTCATTTTACAGGCTCTATAAAATGTGAGTGGGGTGTGAATATATTATCACTCAATACAATTGTTAATTTAAATAAGAGTGTAAGACTGTTAGAATTTCTCATAGTAGAGACGTACTGGACACTGCACTCGCCAAATAACCCAGGTGCTCTTAAGCCAGGGCTGACCATGCCTTCCTTCCATGATATGCAGAATAAATACCAGTTCAGGCACTCCAGGATAACAAAAAATAGCAGTTTTGTTGGGGCAAAAGCAGCAACGTTTTGACCCTAATGGATCTTTATCAAGCTCTTGATAAAGACCTGGTAGGGTCGAAATGTTGTTGCTATTTCTGTTATCCTGGAGTGCCTGAACCATTATTTAATCTGCATATCTTGTTAGAATTCCTAAATCAGCTATTGCAACTGGCTCAGATTGCCTTTATCTATCCATTCAGTTTGTTGGAACTAGTTTGTTGGACAGCCACTAGAAGTGGACGTATCCCTGCAATGTAAACATTGCAGTTTCTAAAATACTTCAATGCTTTACATTGCAGGATTTAAAAGACAGGGCCTCCACCCAGATCACTTAATTGAGATAAAGTGATCTACATGACTGTAATCTCCCTTTAATGGAATATTTTTCATGAACTATATTACAGGGTAATCCAGACATGATACAACTTTGAGGTTTCTTGCATTTGTTTGCAGTATATGAAAGCAGCTTGGACAACCCAAACCAGAGTTTCTTCTTTCTGGCAGTGGATGAATACTGTGAAGAGGGGAAGCAGCGTCTTGGGCATGTCCTGACGTCCAAGTCAGAATGGGTCAATATGTAAAACAAGTGGACAGGATACAGACTATGGTGTAGTCAGGGCCGGACTGGGAAAAAAATTTGGCCCGGGCATTTTTCACAGTGGCCCCCTGAGAAGGGGTGGGTTCAGAGAGGGTGTGTTTTGTCATTACTAATGATTACAAATCATTAATCACTAATGACAAGCACGCCCCCTCCCAAAGTGAGCATGGCTCAATGCACAGAGCCCCGCTTAGAAAAAGGCCCTGTATTTGTTCTGCGCACAGATAGGTGTGGTAATATGGCGCTTATAAAGAATTGTATAGTGGTAGTGACTCAATTTTTAGCTGCTGTAAACACTCTGTGGGTACTCCCAATATCCCACTATAAAAAGACAACAAAACAACAGATAACTAGAGGTCTGGTTGGTGTTTCCACCTCCCAAGCCTCTAATTTGAGTGCAGCGCTATATATATCTGTACAGAATGAGTGTTTAAATATATATATGTGTGACTTACCCCTCTTAATAGGCTTATTAGGGGGTGTACATAAAAGATAAAAACAGAAGAAATATACAAAATTATTGTGCAGTATTATATATGTATACAGAGTATTGTTGTAATGTGTGAGTTAGATCTACTCACATTATTTAGTGCCTTTTAAGACATTAGGCTCTAAACTTCTAGGCTTCCTTGTCTTTTTAAGGTAGACAGCTTGACCCCTTTAA